CACTCGTCAACTGGAGCCCAACCGGTTCACCTTTTTTGACATTTAGAACTGCAGAGGTGCAACATGCAGGCCGGTTGCTCTGATTGGTTGATTTACAGAGGAAGGGAGAGTTTGAGTCTTAAAGGAGGAGCGCCAGCTTCCCCAAAAGGTGCATAAATTAATGTTCTTCCTTTCAACGACTCACCGTGCCCACGGTAAATCTAGAAGCCAGATGTTTCTGTGATATCAATCAAACTCACTTTGAATGTAGCTCGTGCTCATGTGGCTTTTTGTTTTGCTACGTTGCTGTAAAGAACATAGCCTTCAATTCTCAAAAACAAGCTCCCACTCCTCTGATGACGTCACAAAAGACAAAGCAGTTACTTTGACTACATCCACTCATATTTGTTCTTCTTTACTTGCTTCTTTTTAATCAAATTCCTCCTTCAAAGGTGTTTACTTGTCTTCTGTCTGAATGCAGTAAAATGTTTGAGCTGGACAGATTCTAGGAACATTTGGCAACAATGAAACACATGGGATGGACAGATTTCATCATCAAAAGTCTTCAGGGATCATTTTGAGCCAGATTAAAACTGTTGCCTGGTTGATGTGTTACTTCAATGTGATATTCAAGTCCCAGTAGAACAGCTGCTTTGCCCATGGGCGGCCTCAGCTGAAAATGATTCCAAGACGACAAACTTTTACTGGTTTCACCCGACATGCATGCACCCAGCTTATTCTAGGGGTCAGCGACCTTTAGTGTCCAAAGGCCATCCTTTTGCCATTATGCCTACTAAATAAAATTTGTATGGAAACCGCAAAACCTAAACGACTTTAAATAACTGTATTTTGTTTTGTTTAATAAAATAAATATATGTATATATTTAATTTAAAATTAATGAAAACTATCAAACTTTAATGAAGGAAAAATTAATTTATGCTCTTGATCAAGATATCTTATATCCATGGAAGAGTAACAAAAAAATTCATAAAACACAAAAAAGTATATAAAAAATATTTCTTATTATACTCATGTCAATCTGTTGTATTAAAAAAAAATTATGCATGTTTTTCATGAAAAAAATTTTTTTTTCTAAAAACACTCCTCATTTTTGTATAATTTCAAAAATATTAAGAGAAATATGTATCTGGATCCACAGTCTCTAAACCATCACAACCACAACACTAGTCTTTGGAAAATCACGTAGCTATTTAACATGATAAATAGCTACAATCAGAAGTTCATTTCAGTAATGGAGAAAAAGTTCAAATGCAACTACAGAAATAAAGTTTTGAAGATGATTGTTGTCATCAACACAGTTTGCTTCAGTTTTACAATCCTTCGTAGTTTGGGACTCAAACTCTGTTTCTAACATGTCATCATTTGTAGATAAAAGGCAAATGAAATGCTTAACTAACACCTGTCAAAAACTGAGTCTTAACTCGATTTGGTACTGTTTTCACTTTTCATAGGAGTTTTATAACTAACTTATTTGAATACAAAATGTAACAGATGTTTCATACTGACTGTAAATCAACCTGTACCTGACATGAGGATGTTTCTTCTCTAATTACTATAACCTACTCAAAGTCTACTATTGGAAAATCTGGTTTTATGACTCCAGTAAATGCTATTTATGATCAGAGGAACCCTCTGAGTAATTTTCTTCAATTGTAATCTGTAAGCAGTAATAATCAAGACCAAACAACGATGAGAACCACAATCAGATGGAAAATGAGCATTTTGTTTATAAATATTTACTGCCATCGTCATTTAAATAAGCGATTCTCATTAGCATAAAGCACATGGGAATGAAAAGTGGCAACACTTGCGGAAAAAAAATAAGGGTCCTAATTGGTGTAAATGTAAATGGCCAAGTACTCAGGAAACAGATGTCACACTCTTATCCTTTGGTGCACTTTTAAAACTTTTACACTTTTTGGAAATCTTACATCATCACCAAGCTGTGTTTTATTGTCAGTCTACATTTGTTAGTGGTAGAAAAAAAAAGAAAAGAAATACACCACTGCATCTTTAATTTTCAAACCCCCCTCTTTTTTTTTTTTTTTTTTTTTTTACATTCATTTCAACAGGCCATTGGTTTTGATTTCACACGATTATGGCAGATGATGGTACAATCTTACCCGTATAATTGAATACCTTTGCTCTTACTCCATCAAAACACAGCGATACGGATGGAGCGTACGCGCCGGCTGTCACCGTTTCTGTCCACCTCAGCAAGAAGCGGCTGGTTTTATAGGGCTGGTAAGGAGCGGAAAATGTGAATAAGCGATTTTGGAAAGCCCGACTCCCCTCTGCAGTGCTAATTTAGTGTGAGAGCTAAGTGGCTCATTTTTATGTGAACACCATTGTGTTCCCTAACTGTGCAGCAAACAATCGCTGTTCCAAGGCAAAGAAGGACACAATGTGAACAATAGAACAATGAGGGCCTTTTTTCCCTCTCTCTTGCTGCCTGGAGGAATATAAAAAAAAAGCGAGAAAGAGAGAGATTCTCACAAAAACAAAACAAAAAAAAACAGGGCTGTGTAATTGTTTTCTGAGGCTGAGATTTGGATATATTAAGTGCTTTTTAAGATATTTTTTAAAGGGCGATGTCGTGCACCAGAAGGAAGTACGGTACGTCTATATGAGTGCTGCTCACGGATGTGTCAGGTGCAAACGGCAGGTATCAGGTCGTCTGTTGTCAAGGCTAGCTGGTGTGGATGTTGACAGGGATCAGCGACGGGTGTTAAAACATTTTGGGGGGGCCCTTGCTTTTCCCTTGCTACTGAGCAACCCGAACCTGACACTATCACTGGGGAGCATGCACGAGTCAATGCTACGCTGCACACACAGACAGCGCGCAATCTCCCCTCTCTGTCTGCCGCACTCCATCTCGGCTTCCCCAACCTCGTACCCCCCCCCCCCCAGGATTTTCTGCACGTCCCTCCTCCGTTCCCTTCTAAAAAAAAAAAAAAATGCCGAGACCGCTACAGCTTCACGGCCTGGTATCGGGCGTGTCATCAATCAAAACCGATCGTATCAGTCTTGCACACAAAGCTGGATTCGTAGTGCGGCGCGATGCTACGGAAGATTCAGCTTGGCAACGTCCGTTATCGTCCGGTGTATCAAACTTTGTTTCACTGTCGCGCCTCTTTGCAGCGGAAACCTCATCGAGGCCCTCTTCCCTTGGTGTGGCTTGCGAGGGCCTACATCTGTTTGTGATATACAATGTAACGCAGCACCTCACCCACACTCTGAAGTAACAGATTCACGGTACGACGTGGAGCTGACACTCTGCACTTTCCCCAGAAGGTTGCGCTCTTAACGACTACAAACCCCGCCACCGGCGCGACCGGCGGCGACCCCCTCTTCTTCCCTCCTTTTCAGCTCCTCACACTGCTTACATGGACAGCCCATAATAGCAGACATGAATCTGTGTCTCCCCTTGCTCCAAACAGATGCCGGCTGTCCATAAATCACAGGCCTCCATTTTGTTGGGTAGAACAAAAAGCGTTGTTTCTGTGGGCCTGGTAATAATCCCCGTGCCCCATGTTGTGTTTTGTCTCTGGACGGGCTCTTGTCTCCGCTCTCCTCTGTCACACTCCTGCTTCTCCACATGCATTACAATAGGGGCAGCCAGGTGATGAATATTTGTGTCTCGCCTGCCGTTAAGATTTCATTAATCACCGCAAGACTTGAGAGCAAAGCTGTGTACCTGGCCGGGCCGGCAGGCTGAGGGGCCCTCCCCCCCGTGCTACCTCCTGGGGACAACGAGCAGCCATGTTGCGTTGTGTTGTGGCAGGGCTTATTTGTTGTATTTGTTTCTCCTCTCTCTTCCTGTCTCGGTGTTCGCACGGTTCCAAGCAGCCCTTGTTCCTCCCAAAAGGACGGATTTGCTGAAAGAAGCAAAAAGTTAAGCCATTACTGTCCGAGAGCGAAAAATAACTACGACATGTCAGCAGCCGCATTTTATGGTAAAGTTGTTGATCAATATCAACTGACTCAACGATTATTCGGCCAGGTGCGGAAATCTGTGGCGCCCCTGATGCCTGCAGACACAACTGCGCGGCACATACAGCAGCAGTGCTGCAAAGCCAGTGAGATTAGACAGAACACAATTATGCATGAACGTTTTGCATGGGTTCAAAGATTAGCAAACAGCGACTGCAGTTAAAAACAACATAGTTGTCAGTGTAAAAGTTTACTTTTTGGAAACGTGAGATAAAACTTCCCCACGTAGAGTTGTGCTTTGCCATGATGATGTATGGAAGGAAGGCCAACATAAGGCAGTGCATAACTCAAGAGGAAAGTGACGGCTTCATGGTTTCAAATGAAATCAAAACCTGAAAGTGTTTTTGTACCAATAGTTGTCCAGTCGAGCTCGTCCAGAGCTACTGTGGGCCTCTTGGCCGTTTCTTTGATGAATCCTCCGCTGTCAGTCTAGGTACCGTTTCTTAGTAGGTTTACGACAGTGCCATACATCTGGCACTATATATAGATATGAGTAGAGCAGCTTAGAGATAATCTAAGTATATCTTCTAAAACCACATTGACCTTAACACGATGGATCTAATGTTGACCAGTGGGGACACATTTCTGCTCTGAAACGCCACCTTGAGTTTGAGTTGTTTTGATTTTGGACAATAGTTCGCCTCTCCTTTTTATGAGAGTGCATTTTCATTTTACCACCTTCAACTGTAAAGTCACATGATATAGATTAACCTTTTGCACTTAATGTCCAACTTTTGATGTCTAAACCACAGGCAAGTCAACTGAATTTTCAGCGGTTCATCCTTGAACCTGACCAAAACTTCAGACTTCAAAAACAGGAGATACAACTGTTTCCTTGTTTGTCTTTCTTTGCTGCGCTCCTCACCTCCTTCTTCTTTTTGTTTTTTCCTTTTCTTTTTACGGCGCGGGTGAGGCGGTAACAGATGGAGAGACAGAGTGCGGGGATGATGAGGACGTAAAATGTGCAACGTTTACTCATTCGCTTCTTTATTGTCTTCCGCTGCAGGAGCCGGAGTACCAGAGCGAGCGGAAAACAAACCGGTGGGTACAAGGACACGGGCCTCCCGAGCCTCATTCACCAACCAATCGGCCTTGATAGGATCCACCAGCTGCCAAGGATTCACTCACTCCCCCCTCTTTATCTTCCCTCTCTCTCTCTATCTACCCTTACCTCCCCACCTGTTCCCTCACTGTCACTCAATTTTTACACTTTTCTTCCTATTTGCACCCCCTTCCTCCCTCTCCCACTCTCCTCTTCCTGTCTGTAATGCCTAGCAGTGATGGATAGACACGTGCCGGCGTACAGAGGAACCTATTTGGACTGGCGTGTCAGCCCATCTTTATCAAATGTTGCAGAGGTATATTCTCTTGCTATGCTTCATTACTCTGGAATGGCGGGCCCTGAAATGTTTGACTGCTCTGTCTTCTCTCTTCAGAACCCCGCTCCGCTGCTCCTTTCCCTCCACCTCCCCCGTCTTCCTGCCCATTTAGCCGCTGTGAGCTGTGAGCTGCAGGATCGGAGCTTTAGAGTGAGCGCGAAAAGCGCAGGCCCTTCTCCGCCGGATGGCCGAGGGAACGCTGCGATGCTTCGGAAGAGTTTGGAGTGGGGTAGATATCGATTTACACTGCATGACTGGGGCCGCTAACGAAGCCTCTCCCCTGCCTGCCCCATCTCATGACAACCACCTGCCTCGCCGCGCAGCCATTGGCTGAGCCTCGGCAGCGCCTCTGCCAATCAAAGCCCCACTGATGGCCCCTGCTTGAGCATGACCTCAGGATGACATCACTGGAAAGGCATTAAAGTAATAAAGGGCTTGCTAGTACAATACAGTAAAGGGCAGGGCAACATAAAGCCTCATCAATCAGAGCATACACAGAATTCAAATAGAGGCGTCTCACTCTTAGTTGAACGAGAGGTCATCTCTCCCGGAGCGCCGTCTCCCCTGGAAAAACTTCTCCCTCCGAGTCTATCAGTTCTGTCGTAATGTTTTGAGTCTATCTGCGCTGCACACCTTGTCGGTAAAATGGAGACAGGCTGTGTAAGTGTGTGTGTGTGTGGGGGGGGAGGGGTGGATAGAGGTATATTACCACATAGGAAGGTGGGGATCAATAGTAAATCCTCCTGAGCTGTAGGTATTTCTCCTGAGATGTGGGGACTCTTGAGTCTAATCAATGAAAACCACGGCGAGCATCTTGGACTTGATGGAAGTTTGGACTGATGGGAATCCATCGTGAGATGAGTTACAGCGGCCATCATAAAAAGGAGAGGCGAACGATTGTCCAAAATCAAAACAACTCGAACTCAAGGTGGCGTTTCAGAGCAGAAATGTGTCCCCACTGGTCAACATTAGATCCATCGTGTTAAGGTCAACATGGTTTTAGAAGATATACTTAGATTATACGACACAAATGTAGTAAAATTACCCAATGTCTTCTTCAGCTTTTCTTCAGAAAGGAAAGGTCTGTTCGCAAACAATAAATGTTTGACTTTGAGAAATGAAACTGTATCCACTGATTCAATCATAACAGCTACATTTCAGGCCTACAAGTGTTGTGGGGTTAGAGCAGCGGTAAATGCTGTGGACTTGCTGAGAACACGTTTATGTCATTATTGTCTTGAGACTTGTCTTGGCCCTCGATGACTTCAGGCTAGACTTGGACTCTGAAAAAATGACTTGTAACCATCTGTGGTATTCTGCAGCCAGAACTTCTGCATCTTTTCGCAGTGCACAGTCTCTGAAACAGAGTTTAAATCAATTCAAAATCAGAGGAAGTTTGCATTACTTACTACTTTTTATTAAGCGATAGCCTGTGTTAGATATCTGCCAAGGATTCACTCATTCATCTGTGCGCATCCTTTTTTTTAAAGCATAAATACATTGTTTACAATCTCAGGAGATTATGATTGTTAAACTTTGTATCTCTGAAATGCTAAAACATTCAAATTTTACTCAAATCCCTCAAAAAACTCTGATGACAGAATTTGACTTTATTGACTCTCAGAAGCTAAAAAAGGACGTCTTTGTTTCACATAATTCAAGGACTTATGTGGATTTTATTTTTGTATTTTAATGTAACCACTGTAAAACGCTGCGTTGTGACAGGGTTAACATGTTGTTTGCAAACTTAAATATCAGTTACTTATGTTGGTTATTTTATTGTTACCAGAAAATATAATTAGTTAACAAATGTTTAGCATTCTCCTGTCAAAGAGCTTTTCTTGGTTTAGGATCAAGGCAAAAACACATTACCTACTTTACCATAAATATAGTATCTAAGACTGTAATCTCAATTGACCTCCGATCCAGTGGTGGAAATGATGGAGGTAGAAACAAATGCCCTTGAAAATTTATCTTTATTCCAAAAGAAGTCCTAAAAATGCAACAAAAAAAAGTTTTAAATAAAAAAGTCTGATTAAAAAAAAAAAACTGCAAGACTTCGAGCTTTTAAAAAGTGCAAAGAAAAAAAAGCTTTTATTACTGCATATTGAAAATCGAGGTCACCGATGCCACGGGATCTTGAGTGACAATAGAGAGTAGACAATAAAAGAGTAATAAACAACCGGGGTAAACACAGAGAAGCGAGATTCAAGATGATTGGCTTTGATAAACACTGTGCATGGTGAACGACTTTTCAAAGACTCCAACTTGGAGCATTTTTTTCCCTCTATTTTGAGGAATGCAACTTTTACTGGTTTGACTGGACCCATCGTAAATCTGTCTGCTGGGTAACCGTTCTACCCAGTTGGGACAAAAGATAAAGTTGTTTTTGAGATCCTGGTAAGATGTACAATTGATGGGGTTTATTTTAAATGATCAGTAACCCAATGCAGTTTTCTCATTTATGGCTCAGGGGACACAGTAAGACGACTGTGCTTTAAATGCTTTGATGGTCATTTGTAATCAAACAAACAAAAATAAAAAATAAAAAACGCACAATAATCATCCTCCTTTATGCCTCTTTCCTTGATCAGACTTTTATTCAACTCTAAAGAAATGCCTAAAAGTAAATGAGATTGGTTGGTATGTTTGCAGTGTGAAAATGGGAGATCTAATTAACTTAATGACTTCCAATTTTTCACTGTTTGTCCAGCAAATTTCTGCTGTTGTATATAGCATGAGTTTGACTGGGTTTAAACCACTGTCTGACCAATGAATAAATCATCAAAGTTGATTGAAAGAACGACTTGAGGAGTAGGAGCCATGTTGGAGTAAAACTGGAGGTTCAGTCAGTTCAGCTGCTAAGATTCGTTGTAGTCATACCAAAGCCGCCGCCCTCCCCAAACCGTTGTTCGGACCCGGCTGGCCTTTTCCCAAACAACCGTTCCATAATCCATAATCCATGACAGGAGATGGAGGCAGTACGGGATCAAAGGCAAGGCATGAAACCCTAAAGAAGCCATAACTCTGGTGTTTAATTGTGTTTCGAGTAAATGCCAAAGCACCCCTTGACCCACCCAGACGTCTGGGGATCATCTGCCCTCCGTTTAATAAGGGGTTATTGTCATTCTATCAAACAAAATCACATCTGAACCAAAATATTTGGATTCCCGCCATGCCGAGCACTAAATTAGGGAACAAATGTAAATGGGGGAGCCGCTTTATGACATGCACCGTAAACATACCGTAAAGTAGATTGCCATCGGTACATTTCTTTAAAAAGCAGCAGAGAAACGTCTGCTGGATGTCGAAGGCAGAAGTCGGCTCGCTGTAAAATTGCTTTCTAACTAGAGTGAAACAGAGTGGCTCTTTTGTCTGCGATAATTAGGGCCGTATTCTGTTTTGCATAATCGCCTAGAAAGATTAAAAAGGAATTCAGATGAAGCATTACCAAAACAGTGATAACGCCACAGGAGGACGTTATCAATATATCTGTTTCAAAACCTGGATTTTTACTTTTTTTTCCTTTTCTTGGTCTTATTTTGACAACCTATATATAGCTCGTTTAACCTTCAGTGTCTGTTTCTCAAATGAAATTGCACTGTGAAGGAAAAAAGAAAAAGAAATACTCATATTACCGTGAAAAACGATGGCTTTTCTCTGGAACAATAAGCAGTCCTTGAACTCCACGTCATTAAAGTGAACGCCATCATTTCCTTTCATTAAGATGACTGTGTGCAGACACATATTGCAGTTGGAAGGCGAAGCTGCGGCAGGAGACTCATTTAAAAACCGCCCTAATCTGGAAAATGATCCTAATGTTTCTCAAATGTTATATCCTCCCCAACCTTTTGGCGCGTGAGACGCTTTAAGAGGGCTGTACGATTTCCAGGCGTTTAAGCGGATCGCTCCTTTTGAAAATAAATAAATAAATAAAAAATGCACCCTGAGTGCTGCTTTTTCTGTTTTCACATATATTGCCAATATTTCTGACAATAAATACTGGGGGGCGGGTGGGACTGGATAAAATTCATATCCTCCTTCGCTGGTAGATTATGGGGATTTCATGCAAAAGAGGGCCTCTCGTGAAATTGCGAGCCTCTGCTACTGCTGCTTCATTGTTGGGTGTCAAAGTATAGAAATAGCCATGCCCTCTCCTGTTTTGCTCATTTGACTCAACGGGTGTGAAACAGTCCCTCATATCCCTGTCTTGTCTATAAGAAATGAAATGACTTTAAGACTGCGCAGCGTTGCCACAGGCAGGTCGGCTGAAAGGCTATTTCAGGAGAAATGGACATGGACATAAATATCCTCGCGGGGTGCTTTGTAATAAAAAAAGAAAAAAGGAAAGGAAACACAATGTTATGAAATGCAGTGAAACATAAAGAGGGGAAGAGGCAGGGGTATACAGTGGGGGTGGTGGTGGAGGGCAAATATCCATCAAATTAACACATCAGTGGCTTTGATTGTAATCTCTGGGCCCTGGCTCTCTCGCTCTGCCACACCAGACAAGCAGCCAAACGTGATTTATCAATGCAAAGCTAATGGCATCAATATGAATCTAACTAAAAATCAATATTTCATTACCAAATTGTTAGCGAGAATGAAGAAAAATGGCCGCGGCCGGAGCGCTCTCCGGGGTAGGAGCATCTGGAGTTCAATGTGACAAGATGAGCGATGCGTGACTCGGGGCTCGAGGAAGGACACGGCGAGGACAGGACTCAGTCTGGGCACACTTTGAACTCTATCTCTCTCCGTCTTCCTCTGCCTCCTCCTCGTTTTCAGCCAACTCTGACAAAGCCCCCCCCTCCTCCACCCATCTCTCTACACTTTATTATGTTTTTCGTCGTTCGCTTCCGCTTTTCATATCTTTATCACGCCGTTTCCTCTATCAATCTCCGCCTCGCGTGTCAGCGACGGTGTCGGCGGAGGACCACACAGTGTTTCGCGTTCCTCCTCAATTAATGACCAACTCGAACATGGAGCCTCTCAATCTCTCCCACCAGCTCTCTCTCTCTCTCTCTCTCTCCCCTCGCTCGCTCTCTCTCTCTCTCTCGCGCGGAGCCCATTTCAATTATTTTTTGCCTCCTTTGAAGACAAGTCAGCATTTTTTTTATCTATTCCCCTTCCCCTTCAGTCTATCCCTACCTCACTCCCTCCCAGTGGATATATCTCCCAAGGCTCATCACACGTTCTCCTAACCAGCCCTGCATGGCTTCCCCTATAATGAGCGTGAGAGAGAAAGAGAACCAAAGAACTAAAAAGAGAGAGGTAGGTTGGCTTGATGGTTAAAAAGCCTAGATCCCGCCTCTCGCTCAGATGTGACCTTCACTTTATTTATATTCCAGTCTTAAGTAACGAGTATTTATTAGGAAGGGCCTGTGATTGTGGAGCTCTGTCAGGTAAGTAATGATGCACCTTTGTGCTTGTGCAGCAGCCCTGGGCGCAATTAAAAACAAACACCCCTTTCTCTTTCGTTTCCCGTTGTATCATCAGGCAATCAGCAGTGGCGGTTCTGGCATCAATGGTACCCCGGGCAAACACTTCCTGCAACACTCGCCCAACAAAGCCCATTCCCGTAAAACAACAACAGAAACTTACTAAAAACCCCCAGAATCCGTTCAATACTGTTCTTGTGGTTTCATCAGAAAAAAGTTAATACATAAGACAAAAGGAAAATAACTTTGTTAATTTGGGAATTGACTTTGACCACATTTTTTGAGAAGCTGAATTTATTTGCTAACGACTTCGAAGCAGTTTTACTATTGCTGTTCTGCTTTTAACGATCTTGCGGGTTGACTGAAAAACTTTTAAAAGCAACACATTATGTGCACAGATGAAGAAAATTAAAGAGCCGATATGAAACAAAGTTTGCAGCTATGTTTCCACTAAAAAAGAGTGGCAAAACTATGTCAATTCTCCGCTAATGTCTGGAGAAAAAAACAAAACAATTCCACAAATTGCGGCGTTTCAGTTATATAAGACAAATAAATAAAATCATACGTGAATAAGTTTGTTTATGAGTAAACTTATTAAAGAAGCATTCTGCTCCATCATCCTCCTTCCACTTCTTGTCATCGTCTTCTTCGTGGTTTGCGTCAGCGGCAATGTCCGGTTGTTTATCATGTGATGCGAAAAAAGTGTTTCCATTGCAGTTTTTGAGAAACAACTCAATTCTGAAAAGGTAAAAAAAACAAGGCCTCATCCTAGCAGCAAAACTTTTTATTAAAAAAAAATAATAGATCTTTTTCAAAACTGCTGTGTTTCCCTTGAACAAATTTATGTCAAATTTTGCAAATATATGATCAGTGGAAACGTAGCTAGTAACACCTATCAGTCTGAAAAATGTTTAGATATCTCAAAGGCCTTAGGACAACCACAATGGGAGCCATTAATCACAAATCAAGAAAACTTTGGAATATGCTTTTAGGAGAATACTCTGTAAAGTGCCAACACAAAAAAATTGACACTTTTGGAAAGTGTGTTTTCTGTCACATTTGGTTTAAAAATAACACAGCATTTCAGAAAAAAAATCATGGTGGTGTTAATGTGATGGTCTGAGGCTGATTTGCTTCTTTGGAAAACGTTACATAATTTAAGTAACCATGAATTTAGCATCCTAGCTGAAAGCCCTGTGGGAGAATGTCTGACCATCGGTTTGTGATCTCAAGGTTTTGTAACCGTCTAGTCAAAGTCTAAACTTGAAGCCTTTTCAGATGCTCAGACGTGACATAAAACAAGAGACGGAAGCCTGAAAACATCGAAACTAACACAGTTCTGCAAAGAAGACTCGGTCAAAATTCCTCCCCTCCGATGTAAAAGACTCATTGCCAGTTATTGTAAACTCTTGAAGGCAGTTACTGCAGCCATGGGGGGAGCAACCAGCTATTAAGTTCAAGGGGACAATGGCTTCTATCACTTAGGGCCAAGTTAAGGAAAAACAACCTGAAGCTCTACCCACTAAAAGCCATGGCGATGACTGTGAACATCTGGAGAACACACCCAGAGTGCTGACTGAGTCATTTCCAGTTCTTAAAAACCACCTCAGGACTGGAGATGTTCCTCACACGTAGACACTAATTGGAAGAATGCTCTGCAGAAACTCAAGAGGCACTACCAGAAGAGTCTGTCTGGTGTTCGTCTATCACTATGTGGTTTGACTCAACCATCAAACAGGCCAGGAACAGACTGCAATGTACAACTAGGTCTGCACAGAGGATCCATCCAGAACTTTTACAAGTCTGGCGTCGGCAGCTAGCATACTTGCAGAGCCCACACATCCTGGACACAAACTGTTTAGACTTCTACCATCAGAGATGCATATGCAAAAAAAAAAAAAGAGACACAGAGACAGTTTCTCCCCCCAAGATGTCTCTTACACCCAGAGTGATAGCAATATTGCACTATTGAAATCTGCTGTTTTAAAAAAAAATACTTAAATACTTTAAAGGCTCAGTATTAGTATTTTTCAGGCTTTCAGGCACATAGTGCCATTTTATAGCATAACCGAGTAACTCTTCTTCAGCTGTTATAAAAATACTGTATATACCAAATATAACTTAGTAATTTAATGACTTGAAATTGGGTGTCTGTGTCTTAAAAATCTCCTGCTCTTTCTGAAAGTCTGCCTTCAACAGAAATCTTCTACTAACCCTTTGACAACGTTTTTACCAGAGTGGCACTGAGAAATAGCTCGTATAATGATGCAGAGTTCCAAGTATTTATCATTTATTTATTATTTAGTATCAGCTAATTGCTGCTGGCTAGTCTAAAGGAGCTGAGTGGGTGAGTCACCGGGCAGCGCTGCTCTGTGAGGCGGAAGCTTGGAAACTGCAGCTTCAAGTAGGAGCTTCATCTTGAAAGTGGAGCTAATTTCATCCAGACATTTTGCATAGCTGAGTAGTTACCACTGAAAGTATTTCTCAAAGATGCTTGAAAGAATCAAGGTGTTATCTATGAGGGAGTACCATTAGAACATGATGTACAGCTCAAAAAATTACATTTTACAAAAATACTGTCCCTTTAAGTAATCTCATTTCAATTTACAGTTCAGCTTTGAGCTGTTCAAATAATTTCAATTTTGAATTGGAGATTTTCAGATATTGTCTAAAAAGTTGTAAAAAAAAAAAAAAACAAACAAAAAAAACACCTTTAAGCTTCAGAGCCAATAGGTAACCGAGGAGGTCTGCCATATTTTTTTACAGAATCTACAGTTGCAGAACCGTGGGGGCATCCATTCCTCTTCAAATGTGTTGCCCTGGGCGTTGAGCCAGTATAGCCCAAATCAAGAACTGCCACTACCCAACAGTCCACTCAATGGCTCCTTTCCTCCCTCCCTCTGTGTTTAGACTGTCCTGGCCCGCTTTCTTCTTCTTGCAGTCTCCCCCTATCGCTTCCATCTCATTTATGTCTCCCCTGGGAAGAGGTGGTAATGTCCGAGAGGCCCATTTCTCTCCGGCTAGGAGTGGACAGGTCCTCTCCTTCTGAATAAAAAAAAAGAGAGAGAGAGAGGAAAGGGAGGTGATTGTAAAACATGTGTCATTACAGTGTCAAAACACCAAGCAAGCACAATGACTCCATCCTCCATCTTTCGGCTGCGATGTTTTGGAGGGAATTCGTCCCCTAATTTATGGCTCATGAGATAAGGATCCCTGAACTGTGCCGGTACGCTAAAGGCCCTGGCAATGACGGATATCATACATGGGAGAGGCGGCTAATATGAATGCTAATACAGCCCATGACATACAGTAAATCGACCGCGAGTGTGGAACATATGCAGCTTAGGATAAAGTGTTTCCATGTTTCCATTGGTGGGAGATTAACCTACGATAGATTTTTATTGACATTTTAGCACCAGGGAGCAAGAGTGCGTAAAGAAGGGCATGCGGGTCGGAGGGAGATAGCTTTTACACAAATACTGTGTAAATATTAATAACAATGTTATGATCCACTTCCAGTTCTGAAACACAGGCAAAGATTGCAGAGAAGGCCATCTATACGGGCTGCCGTTCCCTTTAAAGAGAACCAGTATCGCCAAGAAAACAATATTTTCACCGTTTAGAAACTCTACTCCTACAGTGCTCCAATAGAGAATCGCAGTGGCACATTTTGTCACATCACAAGTACAAATGTCAATGTGTTTTTTTCTGAGACAGGCCAACACAAAGTGCAATATAACTGGGAAGCAGAGAGAAAATATTTGGTTTTTAAAATCTTTGAATGTGGCCAGTGAAAATTTGGTCACAGTCAGTGGGAAGATGACTTGAGCTAAATTCAAACCATTTCTGGAAGAAAACCTGTTGGAGGCAGCAAAAGGTTTGAGTCTGTGGTCCAGGTTCGCCTTCTAGTGTAAATCTACAGCCGGAAATTCATCGGAGTGGTTCAGGTCAAACCATTCCACTGAAGTTCAGACCTAAATGCATCTGTTCTGATTTTCATGTTTTGGGTACTGGGCCCTTCTGTGATTGAATATGAGACCCCTTTCAAAAGACCTGGAACCACGAATTAGGTTCACCTTCCAGTAAGATGACAATAAGCAAACAGCAAGAAATCAGCAACCAAAGTCTAAACCACCCAGCACAATTTAGGATCGGACATGAACTCAGAAAAAATGAGCAAAGATTTCGGTCTGTAGAAGTGCAAAGCGGGTGGAGATATCCTAAAATACTTGCAGAAATAACTGAAGTGAAAGATGGTTCTACAAAGTATTGACTGACAGTTGTAATTCTGGTACAAATACCTCAGAAGTCTCAGCGGTAAAAATAACTCAGCGTTGTATATTGTAACATGATTAGAAGGTTTGGATATGAGGGTTAAGCAAGTGAAAACAAGAGGGGTATTTTTGCCTTAATTTGACTAACATAGAAGGAAATCTGGGCTCTGATTAAAAACATGAGGACTATTGGAAAATAAACTCCAGACATTCACATTTACTTTATTTTTCCTGCAATATAAATGAATAACAATGTGGAGGTTTAAAGTTTTATCAAATTACATCATGAAGAACAAAGTTAAGGAAACATCTTACAAAAAAACCATGATTGTTGAAACGTTCTTGACATGCTTATTTCTAGGTAAACCTCTCTTAAAAGGAGAAATGGAAAAACGTCATATAATTTAGAGAGTTAAAGCATTCAATGATATCAGCTGCATTTTCTCCAGCACATTGACGACCTGCCATACGGTGGGTTTTAAAGTGGCAGGCGCCGCTGTCACGTTGCATCTGAAAGGGCCCATAAGACATGATTGCATCACTTTGGCTGTCATGGTGTTCATGTCATGCTAATATCTCACCCTGTATGAGCCTTACACAACCACTAACCTAAAGGCCGACATGTATAGGTTAGCAACACTAGTTGACCATAAAAGACGGGAACAGTCTTGAAAAAGAATTAGTCTTAATTGTTCCGAGAGCGGTTCAAAACCAGATAAATAATGCTCAAAAAAACGGATTTTTTTTTGTAGCTAAATTAGATTCAAGGGAACAACTAAGAATTTTGAATTAGTATGAATTACAACATTTAATTTCCAATTTCAATAAAGTATTTTTGAATTTGGACTGACTTGAAATTAAAGCTTGTAGGTTGATCCTTAATCAATTGTGCTCTCACCCTTTCTTTTCACTCTGTACATCTCAGACTTCCAGCACAAGTCAGCCTGCAGTCATCTCCAGAAATACAAAGATGACTCTGTGGTCAAGGAGCTGAGCACAGATAACTGGTGAACCGCTTCGTAGCATGTTGAGGCAGCAATTGTACCTTGAAAGCGTACAAGACAAAGGAGATGGGTGTACATTTCAAGAGAAACAGGGTTAGGCCAAACAATATTATGGGAGAAGAAGTGGATGTAGTGGAGGATAAATATTTTTGGGTTCATCTGAACGACAGACTGGACTGGAAATGCAACATTGTAGCCATGAACGCCCTTACTTCTTAAGGAATCCTAGATTTTCCAGTGTTCGCAGGAAGATGCTGCACATCTTCTGTAGGTCTGATGTGGAGAGCGTACCAGTAATCTCCTCCTCTGCCGTCATGAAGATAGAAAGCAGTTTGACGGCAGCTTGAATTATAATCATCCCACAAAAACAAAGATTTAGATTCAACTTTTTATAGAGATATTAACTTTGATGGCATTGTTTCTTCCGACCACTTGTCACAGTATTTGTGATGAAAATCCCATTAGCGGAAATTAGATGGAATTGAAAACACATTAATCTTTATCTAGAGGTATTTCCGCTGATATTATCAGCACTCCGGATCCAAAATTCCCTGACATCAGCATCCACGTTACCCCCATTAGAATCTCTTCCATTTACCTGAAGTGTCTAACCAATCAGCAGCTCTGTGGCCTGTGGTGGAGGGGGGGTAAAAAAAAAAAAAAAAGAAGCAAAGGCCTCTGGGGTTTATCTGTGGAACATTCGAGGGATCTTCATGGAGGCAGGCACAGTTTGATGGGCGAGACACACTTTAGTGCATGGTGAAGGCAGTATGACTAATGTGTGGAATGGGACATTTACATAGGAGAGGCAGGCTGTGCTCGCAGCCTCCCAGAGGTACGTACGGCTGGCCCGGCGCTGGATCTGCTGCCTGTCCTCAGGGCTCCCTCTGCCACTTCATTTCCATGCTCCATTTTAGATCAAGGCTTCTCTAATATTTCCACATTATCCAAGGAGGCAATCTAAGATTGGAATTTGATCCACTTTGAAGCGACGTGTCGTCACACACACACACACACGCACACCCCTCTTCTTTGCTTTTTAAGTTCTTTTGCGCCTGTTCGCTTTTACCTGAACATCCCTGCGTTCCTCTAGATTTACATGTCAATACTGAAAGAAACACATTTTGTTCTGTTCATTATTTTGAAATCTCTTACACATTAGGATTGATTTTGCACTTTAGTCCAAATATGTAGTAACTCACACGTGTGCCGACATTAGTGTTCCCCCCCCCCTTTTTTTTTTTACCAGTGATAAATTTAACAAAAAAAGAAAAAAAAGAAAAAAAAAACAAAGTGATTTAGTAAGCACCAGGTGGGATTCGCATTGCTTCAGGAATTGAAAATCTAGACAGAACAACAGTGGGTATTTATACACGTCTTGTGACGACTATAACTCATTCTGCGGGAAGTAATTATTTCTGACAAACCTTCTCAGCTTGAGCATTATTAGAGCGCATTACTTAGCACTCCCCTTTGTAATTGTACACGGCAAAAGCAGCAGGTCGGAGGGTAAATTAGTGGAAGGGAGAGGCGGCGGTGAGGGGAAAGTAAATCTCGTACAGGAGGCTGGAAAATAAGACGGGGGGGAAGACAACAAGAGGAAGGAGCACTGGGGGAGCCGTGGATGTGAATATTATAGACAACAACATGCATAAAACTGGATGCGGCGCAGGTCGTCTCCCTTTGGACCTGTGTTATATTGCTGTTGTTTTAATTAGGTGCTTGCGTGTGTGAAGGGCCGGCGTGTGTCTATGTGTTGTATATGACCACATGTGCGTATCTGTCAGGTTTCTGTAAGCAGAGACGAATGAGGGCTGAGAGGTAATGAGCTCCGGTCGGCGCTCAGCCGGGGCCGGCCGTCCGTCCGGGGGCGACCCGTTTCAGCTCTGCTCTGTGCTCCTTTGTCCTGTGCGAGTTTAGAAAGGATGGAGGTACCGACTTCAAAGTACTTTACTATGCTTTTACGTGTCAGGCCAACAGAAAGTAGAGACGAATTGTGCAAAGGGAAGAAAGACGAGAATACATTCTTTCTAGATTTTTGTTCATAAAGAATTTTTAAAGTGTGGCATGGATATGTATTTTACACCTCAGTTAGATGTGGGACCAAAATTGTATTTATTTATTTATTTATTTTTAATTTTCAGCTGGTGTGCTTTGTTTCATGCTGCATTGTGTCCAATCAGCCAAAAACCTGTGGCAGTGGCAGCATCATGCTGTAGGATCTGATTTGCTGCAGGAGGAACTGGTGCACTTCAGAAAATAAATGGAATCACAAGGAAGGAACATGATGCTGAAATATTGATCACAGATTTAAGGAGAAATAATTTTCTGCCACATTCACATTTCATTACAGAAGATACGACTGTCATTTTAAAATGGCAAAATTTGGATAGGCTGAAGGGACGTTGATGCTTTCCCAACACACTGTGTTGCAGAGAAGGGCTTTCTGAAAGAATTTCTCCCAGCTTTTATGCTTCAGAAGTGCGTGCATGGTTAATAACCTTGATGTTTTCCCTGAGGCTTGGAGAAAATGTGAAGAACGTCGTAGCATCTTTGCAGACAAATTCAGAGCAGTTTAGAGACACTTGGTTTGACTGTAGAGCAGGGACAATATCCACTTCTGTTTGCATTTGTCAGAGTGAATCCCTTCTTAAATGGTATTTCATAAAGTCGCATGTTATACAGATCCACATTTCCTAACAGCGCTACACGGGGAAAAACAGCAGCAGCTGTATTCTTTTACTTTATTAAACAAGCATTTACAGCCATCCGCTGAGGACAGAGGGTTAAAAAAAAAACAAAACGGTGAAGCAACTTTTTAGGTAATAAAAATACAAAATGGGCAAAAATAGCATGTTTTGGCAGGTTTATTGTTTCATCAGCTAATGTACAGAGATGCTGAATAACATTTGGCAAACTTCTAACCCTTGTAAATCCATGAATTCAATTTGTGGCAAATACGTTGCTGAGTTTTTTGAAACAACATAAAGCTTTTTGGAAGCAACTAATGTAGAAATTCATGAGAGAGTTAGCACTTCCTGGCTTTCTGTAAAAAAGAAAAGGAAAGAAAGAAAGAAATAAAGAAACTAACAAATAAATAAATAAATAAAGAAAGAAAGAAAGAAAGAAAGCAGCTAACCATAGTGTGGCCGGGCAGACTTCAAACTTCATCAGCAATCGCTTTGTGTTCCTTTAGATCAGGGGTCCCCAAACTTTTTCCTGCGAGGGCCACATAGCTGTTCCTTTCTGTGGTCGGGGGACGGTCTTAGTTTTTGCAGTAAAAAAAAACAAAGAAATTCTTGTCGACGACGGGGGGGGGGGGGGGGGACGGCGACACTTTTGGATAGATTTTTACCCAGAATGCAAATGGAAAAAACCGTGAGTGAAACGGTGACTGACGAGTATATATTCCATTGAGGGAAAGTAAGTTTCACATTTGCTCAAAAGCCCCCTGGTGGTTGAAGAAAAATCCACATATAAACCAGAAAATACAACATATGAAAAAAAACACTGAATGCTCTCTGGTATGAGCAGGCGGGCCGGATCTGGCATTGTTCAGGGGGCCGGACCAAATGACGTGGCGGGCCGGATCCGGCCCGCGGGCCGTAGTTTGGGGACCCCTGCTTTAGATCATTTTGTTATAAACTATTTATGGTCAATGTAGTCCATTAAGATTGAGTGGCGAATACTGTCACCAATGAGATGGAATAATTCCAGTAAGGAGCAATAAAAAGGGATTTGCAGGAAGTAAAGTTCTGAGGAAAAATATTCCCATTATCACAGTTTACTTCAGTTTCGCTCTCCGTGGCAGAATCGTGGTTCAGGGGTCACTGGAGTAAAATGTAAAAAAATGGAAGGCTGAAAATCCTTGGTGCTCAACACGGTTCACGATCTGGGTCAGAATTCGCCAAACTGTTTGCGAAAGCCAGGAAATCAGTTAAAATCTTGAGCTTCTCACACAAACCAGAAATGATTTTTTTTTCTTTTCTTCCTCAGTGTACTTTTCTGAATCTTTTTTGTTTCTTTTAGCGAAATCCATATTTTATAACACATCTGTGTTTTCAGTCGGTGTACTTTCGTTAGCGATATAAAAAACACACCGCCGGTCAGTATCTTCAACGTGCTCAATTCGTGACAAAACATGAATGGATTTTTGCCGTTGCAGACAAAAGATGGATGACGCGTATCGTTTACAGCTTTAAATGATCTCCAGAAGTTCTTAGCTGCTTGTCATAATTCCGCCTTTTATTTCTACTCAGACAAGCTGCCAAAACCAGACCGATACCCTGTAATAGACGGTTCGAGCGGACAAAAGGGGTGGGAGCGCTCGAGCGCCGTCTAGTCGAGCAATGAGCGACTTCCGACTTAATACCGTCCAGATGGAGGAGGTGAAGATTGACATCCACAGGAACCCACATGCTCAGATGACACTGCAAAGCACAGTGAAGTCATCCGAGGTTACTGGGGGACCACCATCTGCAACTCCATTAAACCGGACGCAAACATCTTCGATGTAATTAACGAGGCCAAACACAGGATGTACGTCCCACGTCTACTTTGGCCAAAACGTCAACATGTCACAGCCGAGCGCGCTCTAACTGCATCAACTGTACTGTCTCTGCTTTTTCTCAGCTGTGCAGGATGTGATTTAAATAGCCGCCCCGGTCTCCATCCGAGACCTGTAAGGAGATCAAAGCAAAGGAGAAAGAGAGAGAGAGAGAGAGAGAGAGAGAGAGAGAGGGGGGGAAAAAAAGGAAAACAAAAAAAGATGGCTGCCGTTCCTCCTTGCCAAGACGAGCATCTATCTGACATCTCACCTGCTGGAAGACAGTTCCGGTTCGTCAGCGCGGCTCCCACCTGCCACGACGACGCCGTCCCCTCGACGGCAATCGCCATCCTCGGCCTGCCCTGCTCAGCCGGCGGACTCCCCCCACACACAGCCCTGTCACACTTACTCCCATGAGTACACTCGCGTATACTGAATGACCCGGCTGACTCACACGAGTAAGTCAAGCTTTATTTCATATGCACTTTATCATCTTTTTCAGGCAACAGCGGCCCTGCTACATACTTGCCTTGAAACATTTCAGGGAGTTGCTTCAGCGCTGTTATTCTCCTGTAAAGGAGAAAGCACAACACCATACTGTATATGTTAGCTTAGCTGAAGGAAAAACCAGACACTACCTGCCTCCAAGTTAAGGTAACAAAGAATGTCTGTCACTGAACTAAGCAGCTTTGCCAAGATGGAGGTACCAACTATAATTTTTTCCATTCTTAAAGGGGCAGTATTACATAGGAAAACCTATGTTTTCCTGTCGCACTGTATCAATTTATAGCTGTTACCATCAGTTTTTATAGAAAGTCTGTATATGTCATATAACTTTCGGGAAATTTTGTAATTTTAGCACCTTGAAAATGGGCCCCTGTCTCTTTAAGAAAAACTTGTTCTTTCTGAAACTCCACCTTCAGGAAGTCATCAAAACATGGCTCCTCTATTATCCGTCTAACAAGCGTTGCACTGAGGAGTAGCTCGTATAAAGAGCTCAGCAGATGCGTAGTTCCACTAGGTGTTTGCTAATTGCTGCTGGCTAGTCTGAAGAAGCTGAGTGGGGCACTGGCGGGGGAAGGTGGGAGCTCGGAAGCTTGGAAAATGCAGGAGGAGCTTCGTCCTCGAAGGCGGCACTAGGTCCAGTCAGGCGTTTTGCTTGGCTGAATGGCTGCAACATGAGTTTAAAGGATTTCTCAAACATGCATGAAAGATTCGAGGTGACAATCAAGGGATGTTTTTGATGAGCGAATAACATAACATGATGTGAAGCTCAAAAAAGTTGATTTTACATAATGCTGCCCTTTTAAAACACTCTTTTCAAAACATCTCTAAGTCACTTTGACCTGTGAATCCATCAGGTATTAAGACCCTTCAAAGATGAAGGTGTGACTTGGTGTTGAGTCGACGCATAAAACACAACTTAGTGAAAAACCAGTTCAAATCTGATCTCTGGACTTTATTAAAAACAGCAGCCTGTCATAAAAACACAAGTTATCCTTATTTATTTATATGACTCTTTGAAAAATGATAAAATTAAGACACAAGTGAAGACTTAAAATAGTATTTTAACACTAACCAAGCACGTCTCAGACGCCTGTTTGTTGAAAAGTTGGCATTACAATAGATGATCACTTTAAGGAATATGCTTCTCTTCGGGTATGTGTCAGATATTTGATGAATTTCTTCTTTTGGTTATAGACATAAATGTGTTCCATGCTTTTTAGTATGCTTTCTGGGTCTTTTCATTTCTTCCGCTTCACCATTAAGTGCCCTTCATTGCAAACACACTGTACCACACAGTCCTCATCAGGTACAAGAACTGGACATATAAAACAAATTTTTAAAGAGTCTACAAAACTCTGGCTGTGGCCGAGACGAAATGGAAAAACAGAATGCCGTTCTTCACTTTTTTTTTTTTTCCAAACAAAAGGGTCATGAGAAAAACTAGCCACATCCTCTTGTTCGCCTGCTTTCCCAGGACGGATATCTTTCTTTTCATGTCAGACGTCTTCCCTCGTCATGTCTCCTTCTTTCGGGGTCACAGGTTTTATTCTCAGTATTACAGTGTTGCACAACAAGTGGAACATTGCAACAACCTAAAAAAGAAAAAAAAAATTTTTACACAAAGGAGAATTGGGAGCGCTCTTTCTCAGGGCAGCAAATGCAGGAGTTGGAATAATGAATTCTGGCAAAGAAAGATGAACACATGGAGTCAGTTGACTACTGTAATCGCCTTTTGTGCTCTAAAATACACGCATTCTCATCGCTTGAGTCAAAACATAAAGTTTCCAACAATTAACATGTTGGCGCACTTGTCTCAATCCCCTGAAGATTGAATGAAATTAGCATCGGCATGTGCAAATTTATATAAAGATGAGTGACATTTTCTCTAAGGGAGTAATAAAGGTTTCAACGTTGTGCTGATGACATTTTTTTCCTTCTCCCCCCACCCCCTAACTTGAGCGTTTGCAGAATAACGTACCAATTTAATGTGAAGGAAGTACCCTTTAGTGTGTCACTGTAAATGAGTCGAGAGGCTGCTGACAGCGACCTCTTGCCAACGGAGCACTGACACCGCGAGCGGCTCGGAGAGGGTGACGCTGCTGCGTCGCCTGGCAGAGAGGCGACGAGCAGAGCGGGTGAAGCCTCCTTGACCCCCGAGTAACGCAGTGGGTGTGACCGAGCGTGTGTGGGCTGCGGTGAGGGGCAGGGGATGAAGGCGCTAAGTGCTCCGCTTGTCCATCCCTGGCAGGTGAACTGGCAGGGGCTTCACCTTGGGGTTGGAGGGGTTGGCACTGAACACTGGCACTGGACGGGGCTTCTAATGTCTACGACCGAGTGTGTTTACGTGATCGTACAAGCGCATATACATAAGAACACATGCTCATATGTTCTTTTTCTTTGTGTGTATAGCCCTCGAAATGATGAACGCCTTGGTAGTACCATTTGGCAGATGGGGACCCACCGGCCCTTTCTTCGAGCGGGACTAACAAGCTGACGAGTGTTTGGGAGGAGGCTCGACAGGCTCAGTGCCTCCGCCTCTAAGCGGACCCCTTAACCTCGCTGACGTCTGTGAGGGGCCCTTACGAGCCTCTGAAATGGCCTTTTCTAGTCGTAAGGGTCTCGCGGTCTTGGCCCTAGAGGACCCTGCCTCTCCACCTGGCACGAGGGTATCGAAGAGGGCAGGAGGAGTCAGCAGATGCATGGCGTTCGTTTGGACAGGACGGAGAGAGGTAACACGCCAAAGCTACATCGCTACATTCCCGAGCTGACAACGGTGAGAGCTGTTCTCAGGGAGCCACTTTGACCTGTTTTTTTTTGTTGTTGTTGTTTTTTTGTCTCACGAAGAGACGATAATCCCTGCCTGCTGCAACACGTTCGTTCAATGCTGAAGTGTGTAACACCTTCTGCGCCACATTACAAGTGAATCCTGTCATTGTGGAGCTACAGATGAGCAATTTCTCTTTGCTTTGATTTAATCTTTTTCAGTGGTAGTGTGCGCGTGTGTGTGTGCCCTCGTCTGCTCAAAGTCTTGCACTTTTTTGATTCCACCTCACCATAAACACATGTATGACAAGTTTATAATTGCGGCTCCGAACCGGCGTGTTGGAGTGTGCCACATGGAGGCAGAGGAGGCCGTAATTGGCATTCCTACCTCTGTGTGCCAGCCGGTTCTCTCTCCTCCCCGTCAGAGTGAGAGTTGACAAAGAGAGCGCCAAGCGTTTCCAATCCCACATCCCTCACTACTTCTTCTTCTCCTTATTTTTTTTTCTCCTCTCTTCGCGGCCTGTGACGAGAAGAAGGCGAGATATGTGTGTGAGCGTGTGTGTTTTGGATTAGTGTCTTGCTTCACAATAAATCTTTGTTAAACAAATGCAAAGCAGATGGCACCGTGGTGTCTCCACCGTGAGGAGAGAAAGAAAAAGGGAAGGAGAGAGAGAAATGGAGAAATAAAGATGGAGAGAGAGAGGAAAAAAAAAACCACACGCCTACTGCTTATTCTTATCCTCCGCAGACACACTGATCACACACATTACACAGACGGTGACTGTGTTGAGCTGCAAAACACTTAATCCCAGAGTGGAAGCTAGAGGTGGCGTCTGAATGCTGACGGACACCCAAACACATTCTGTTCATGGGAGAGGAGAACATTTTGTTTATTTGACAGCATGCCTGTTGATATTAAATGGACGGCTTAGATCTTTTCAAGTGAGGTTCGGTGAAGTTAAGAGTTATGGTTCCCTTACCTGTGGAAGACAGAGATTGTGTCTCTGTGATTCGGTTCCTGGTATCACACCGTTACTGTGTTTACTGTTTCATTTAAAACAGAATAGCAACACTTATTCCTACTGCCTCTAAAATATTTTTGGCAAATTGATAATTACAGTCATATTTTTGCTGATTAAGATAGTATCTATTTATTTATTGTAATTTTGACTCTGGGAAATAGCCTAAAGGAAAACTTTAGAATATAGCTCCATTTAATTTAGGTTTTAAGTAAACATGCGTGAACAGAAGTATATTAAGTATTTTTTTTTTTTTAAGTCAGGCTACCTGCGGAGCTAGCAAACCTACAGCTGAATACCGAACAGCAACTTGTAGCTCGTCTGGAGTAGCTTTCAGAGATGTGGACTCAAGTCACGTGACACAGAATCAAGTCAGATTCGAGTCACAATTTAGACTTGATGAAATCAAAAAAGACTTTGGACATCAGTGATTCATTATCTCACTTCAATTCGAACCTTTTGATTTAAAAAGACTTCATATCTTATACCACACAGCAAGTGTGGAAAAGCACCGGACAGGAAATGATGGTGCCAGGCACGATATTCAGCCTGCTCTGTAAATCAAAACCACAGCGAACACCTTGTCCTGTTTCAATAAAACTTCAAAGCGAACTGAAGAAGTGTTTGACTGAGAGGAAATGCTGAAATGCTTCACAAACTGAAAATGTCCTGGGAGAATGTTTTGGTTAGCATTGCTTTAGCTACAGAGTGGACCCATGGCTATTCACAGTAACGTAACAAAACGTAGTGTAATGTAACAACAAATTATTTGTGGATTTTTCATATAGCATATCAAAACTCTTCAAAAGAAAATGTAGCTTAGGAAGCTAAAATGCGTAGATACAGTCCTACCTGACATGATGCTAATAGTGCTAGCCAAAAGCAAAGCTGCCGATCCCAGAATGCCATTTATCTCCTTTGTCCCCCAACAGTAGAGCTAAGTTAGACTGCAGATATTAGCTTCTGCGTCAGTGCTAAGACAGTTTCTATAATACATATTAATGCATACTAAGGTATGTATTTGGTGTCTGAACAACTAAAATAGGAAGTCTAAGTGTTTTTAGAAAGGGTCTCAAGTATTTGTGGATTTTGCTATGGTCTCTGAATACCAACTGTACTCACAATCTGCTTATTTTGAGATCTGTTGTAGTTAATGTAAATGAAATCGAGCCCTGCTGGCACTGCATATGGTGGCGTTTTTTTTTTTTTTTTTTTTTTCTAAAACCAATGCGCAGTTTATACTTTCAAAAAAAAAAAGGGGAAAATATATTCTTATCCTGATATCTGGTGTAGTGTATCTGGCCTTGTTTGTTAAGGCATTAAAAGTAATGAAGTTAATTAAATTGAATTTCTGCTAACTGTAACAGTGCTAATTACGCTTTATAATCATAAATTAGAATGGTTAAGGGCCCCCAAAAAAACAATTTTTATAATAAAGAGCCTTTTGTATTTTCGAAACTAATTTAAGAATTTGTTCATCCCTCCAAACTTTTGACTCTATCTCAAAACTTTGACTTTTGAACAGAAAGTTTGTATCCCACCATATGAACACATTCAGTTAACGTTTCCAATGGGCAAAATCAGTTAAAACTGAGGCCTGCGTCTCACCAGCCATTAATTAGCCTGACACCACAGTGAGGATTTCTCCACGAACTCATGACAACACAGCATATTTACAGAACGGATAAAAGAACTACTACTGATAACGTCACAAAGCCTCATTTCAAAAACATCCAGACCATCCCTTTAATGAGGGAGCTGACATTATTTGCCCCAACGTGCATGAAGAAAACGTGACCGTGCTGTGGAGCGCATTAGAGGAAAGGTAAGAGGACACGGAGGGCTCTGTTGTGCCTCTACCCTTTCATGTAGAAGTGGCCTTTTCCGCATGAGGCCTGGCCGCGCTCGGCCCCGGCTGTCGCTGATCGTTATGGATCCCCTTTCAAGAGCCCGTGTGTTCCCCTGACACAAAAGAACGGGGAGGCCCCTGGGCGATGCTGCGCACTACAAGACGGGCCGCGTGGCGAGACTGATTTGCTCGTCAGGAAAGCGGCTCAGCGGAAATCCGGTGACCGTTGTCCAGATCAGACAAGTCTCACCGACGGCGGGGAGGGCCGCGGTTTGGACTCGGGGCAAATGCCAAAAACTCTACTGTTTATGCTTCTCGTTGAGTTATTTGTTTATTTATTTATTTGCTCATTATAATATTCAACCTGACATCGTGTCCGGCTGGCCCCGCGAAACCTCTGCGAGGAATCATGGGATGCGCATTTAAAAACCACGAGCGGCACAGGGCTCTGCAGTAATCGTGATGATAGGTGACAGTGTTACTGAGCCACACATCATCGCCAATGACAGCGGTCCAGTGTGTGTGTGTGTGTGTGTGTGTGTGTGTGTGTGTATGCGTTTGCCGCGCACATGCAAAACGGCGGCGGGAAAGTGGGGACACGCTCCTTTGAATTACCTCAGCAGCGATACGGCTCGGAGATACGAGACGGATTTGAACTGCTCTGCTTTGGAGATCCATAGTATCATGCCTTCACTCACTCTGGATTGTGATTAATGGGCTTATTATTCAGGCATTCACCAGGGGACACAATTATTTACATAAATCCAGGAAGTAGCCAGCCTAATGGAAAGTGCCACGCACATGATCTTAACGTCAAGGCGCCGTTCTCTTCCTCTCGCTGAGCTGAGAATCATGGATGCCGTATATTTTTAGACCCTGTATCTGACTGGGTGGGTGGAGATTGGGGGGGTGCGTCGCATTTCACCTCAGCAGTCCCTACTCCTTTCATCTCGTCTGGAAATGGAGAGAAACCATCACTTAACTTTGCAGCTTACCACACAATTACCTGACTACCTGTTCTCACAGCAATTACGAGCCCAAGACAAATAATTAGTCTGACAAATGACTGCTGGGCAAGGCGCCCTTGTTGTGGTGGAGCCGTGTAATTTGGAGGCCCGGCTCAGAACGCACTTTGGCGGTAATTAGCAAAGACCGGTGTAACTGTGCGCCCGCCCAGTCTTACAAAACTATTTACACCCCCTTAATGCTTTTTTTTTTTTTTTTTCCAAAAATTTTCTTAAGTAAGGACCACAAACGTCAATGGATTTCGGATGATGGGTCAAGGCAAAGTGAGCATAATTGAAACAGAAAGGAAAAAGTGTACTTTTTTCTTCTTTGTCTTGGCAAACTGCGTTCATAGGAATAGCAGCTGAAATGTTTGGGTATGTCTCTAAAGGTGTAATCATGTAGAGACTAATATTTTTGTAGCTAAAGTTCTGACAGATTGTCTCTGAACGTCATTTTTAAAGACTTTTCTGGACTTTGTTTGCACATGATTAACAAATTTTATGTTTCTATGACTTCCGGTGGTAGAGGCAGAGGAATAAAGTGCCACACTTGCTAGTTAAATATTAATTGTTAGTCTTGTGTTTTTATGCTGTAAAATTAATTGCCCATTGGGACATGAACATGTACTGCTGATTTTGATGCTGGCACTTGAAAAAACATTTGTCACTGGTTTCTCAATTGGCGACTAGATGTTTTTATGACGTTTTATTTTGGCGTTTTTATGCTGCGGAGCATTTTGAATTGCCTTGTTGCAGCTCAAATGTACAATACAAACAAACTTGACTTGAATAAAGATCTGAATCTTTGACTGGGCCATTCTAACACATGAATGACATTTTCTAATCATCTCCTACTTTGTTTAAGCTGTGACGATCCCCTCCTGCCCAGTAGGTGTCTCTAGTCCTCTACATGTTTGTTCTTGTTTTTTTTTCCAGGAAGCAGGTAGATGGACTGGTAATTGCACACACCGGTAGAGGATAAAAGTGGACGACTAGCCAGTCACGGTCTGCTTGTTTGCCCTCCGGACCCGTCCGGAACGAGCAGCATTGGTCCGCACTTCTCTCTGACTGGCTGGCCTGATCTCACAGAGCGCATTTTTGTTATCAAATAAATTATTGTTTCTATAGATCCGCTCGTCTGTCTCCCTTTTTGTCCTCGCCTTCGAGATGGGCGTGACAAAGCATATTACATGAAAACCCCCAAATAAATCCACCGAGGTTTGTGGTTGCAAACGGGTGAAACAGGCAAAAGTTTAAGGGGTTAAGAACACTTCTTGTACGTGACCATCAACGTGCGCACGTCAGCGCATGTCACCGCGACTTCACGCGTCGGCCAAGGCATCGGCTCCGATCGTCGGCTTCAGAAGGCAAAGGAGTCAGGGTTGCAGAAACCTCTGCGTGTCATCCCTGATCTCCCAGCCGGTGACACCGACAGCAGCAGCCCACCTGCCAGCCTGTCAGGTCTCCCCCAGCGAGGAGGCTGACACCGTATTGTCAATGCCACAGATTGAACAGTGATCTTTTCCACAATCCCCTCTTCACTCCATCTGCAATCATCTGCAGTCTGTCTGCCACATTGCCGTGCGCTCTCTCTCTCTCTCTCCTTCCTCCGCTTGTCTTCATTCACTTCAGTTCCCCCCCTACCCCCTCCGCCACCAACCCCCCTCAGGTTGTCACATCTGACAGCGGCTTGTCAAATGCTCCTGCAGCTGCAGGTCTATCCGTCATTAAACGGCTGAGGAGGATTGGAATCGTCTCTGTCGGGGCCCTCAGGTGGTGAAGACGCGGGTCTGTAGACGAGGAGGCCCGGCTTGTCGAAGGCATCGTTACTTCCGCATCTGTCAAATTTAAGCAAAAGGCGACATGCTTAGAGAGGGGTACGAGTGGGGGGGAGAACGGGGAGAAGATAAGTTGTGTTGGCAAATTCTGGATGATAGGGGAAAGTCATAAAATCAGACCTTGTTTTCATGTGACTCAAAATAAAAACGTACAGTCAGGGGTGTAGACTGTATGCATATGCGTCACCAGATGGCCCGGGCCTTTTTAATACGAAAACAGCACCGACTTTAGTTGTTAGTACCCCTGGTGAAAATGTGCAAAACGTCTCAAAACAAATGTAGTTTCTTTTGCAGTGGCTTGACCTCACACTGGAATATCCAACATTTAAAAAAAACAAACAAACATGTTAAGCATTGCTTTCAACAAAACCAGTCATTTTTTTTAGGATTGAGGTCTAATGACCGAGAAGGCCACAGATTTAAAACCAAGTACAAAGGTTGACTTGCTTACATCTTTGTTAATCCAAAACATGTGGCCGAAAGACGACCCGTTTCCACCAGGTTGGTATTTTAAAGGGTTCTGGATATCGAACACTGTTACCAGTGTTGTGGATGTTGACAACGCTGTGGCAGAAACAGGCCCAAAGTACTACAGGTCTTCTTCCTTACCTAACAGTGGAGATGAGGTTTTATTTCACTTCACCTCTGGAGTGTTTGCTGTGAAAACTATGACACAGTCCCAGTTAAAGAACCGATATCGTTTAGTAAACTTTACATGCTTACAAGTATGATGGGCAGAAAGTCTTTGAAAATTTTTATTGCAAATCCATTTAATCTCTGACAAATTCCATCAGTTTTTCCACTCAAACATTTGTCTGTCTTTATCTTAGAAATCCTAAAATTCTTTCTAAATTTTCATTTGATTGCATATTACTTCCTGAAAATAGCACCTTTTACTCCACTTTGAAGGACTGTGGATTCAATGCATGTTTGGGCTTTTTGACTCAGATTATGGCAAATTATGAACCTCAATCAAATCAAACTAACTGCTGAGGCACATGACCACAATTTCTTACAACAAACTACGAGTACAGAACGATACTGCAAATAATCGGATCTCAAAGCAGCATATACATATACCTGCAATTCAAGCGTTGCCGGTACAAAACGTCTTTCAGCGAACAACAAGAATTTGTGTCTGAGAAATTTGTGTGCGAAGGTACAAAAAATTTACATGACTTTTGTTTTTCTGGGATGTCTGTCAAACAATAAGTTGGGATGTAAATAACTAAGTCACCTAAGGTCATCTTAGTTAACTCCAACATGCAGGCCATCCTGCTCACTATTTAAGAGTCGCAGGACAAGCAGGAGTTTTAGACTGTGGACTGAGATTTGGAAAGCAAAAAGTTATAGATGATCAATTTTAAGCTCCTAGAAACACTGAACAACTTACAAGAAATGGAGAAAAAGTTGCTGTTGTTGCACTTGTTTCGTAGAAACCAAAACTTTCACCCATGGATTTGATTAAAATCCCTCTGAATAAATAAGCGAATGGTAATATTTTTAAAGATTTCCAGTGCGACACATCGTCAGGTGTTCAGACAAATTTCTCCGCGTCCGTCCCTAGATAAACACCATTCCGTGTTTCCCAGCTCCCCCGGGGCCCGTTTAAGAACATTGACGCTCGGAAGCCAAATGGATCACAGGTGTTTTCTCCTTCACCGGGGATGAGGCTTTGCAGACCTGACCCCTCTGAAGGGGATTAAGTGTCGGTAATACGGGGCCGTGTTCCCTGCCTGGTCCTGCATGCCGCCCTGGGAGGCCACGTCTGATTCCCCTTAGCGGGTCGCCGTGGCCCCAGAGTGGTTCATGTAGACCTCCACCCAGGAGGGCAGGGAACAGCCAGGCGTTCACACACACATACACACACACAGAAGGCAGAAGCACAGGTGTGGAGTCAAACAAAACAAAAATATCCCTAATTAGGTTATTTTCTAATCTACAGAGGCAAGGAGCCTAATTACTACAAGGTGTAAATACAGACGTTTCCATATTTACCTCTCGTGAAATAACAGAATGCCGAAGAAAACAAAAAAAAGAACAGGGGAGGATCAGGGATATGTTAAACGCAACAGAGAGAGGGTAGAAGAAAAAAACAATTAACAAACAAAGCCCTCAGTTATTCTTATCATGCTATCTGATCAATCTATTTTTTGCTCCTCAGCCACTCTAATCTCTCTCCCACTCTCTCTCCCCGCATGTTGCGCCGAGAAACATTTTTGTTTTTGCACTTCACAGAAAAAAAAATAAAAACTCGCAGTCTTCTCATGCACTCCTCTTCTTTTGTCTCCGTTTCACACAACAAAGAGATAACACACCCACATGTGACAAGTCCACCCACATCCATCAAACTTCGCTCAAATCAGCCAGCAATAGGAAATGGAGAAAAAAACAAAACAAAACAAAAAAACATGCGCGCACACTCACAACCTATAGATGACTCTTTCATCAGAGAATCGGGCTGGAGCGCATCGATCACGCTCAGAGAGGCTAAACAGCGAGAGATTGAGTGCAGGGCGATGGGAATGCACGATCCGGTTAATGCATCACGGATGACTTTAGAGCACTTATTTGCACAACTTGTAGCTGCTGCTTTTTTGCGTCGCACGAAACGTCTCACCACTGAGTGAGATATGTGCTGCTTTTTGGCTGGCTTTGTCCTCATTTAGAAGATAAATGGTTTTGCTCTTCAAAACCACATCAATTGGCGTGGCCTTTGTCCTATATCAGGATGGTTTCTGTCCCCTCTCTGGTGGATAAGGTGTGTTTCTTGTAAGACATCTTCGTATTAGTCAAAGTTGCATCTATTACAGGTTAACTCTGCAGTACCTAGCGCCGTTCTCTACAACAGACTCCCTCTCCTTCTCTACTTGAGAGTTTGCTAAATAAATCCATTCTCGAAAACATCTGACAAAACTTTCCTTTGGGAGAAAGTATTTGACGGCAGTGAATTGGTCTAACAACTGTTTGGTAAGAAAACGTCTTTAGTTGGGGATGCCGATTCTCACTCCTGAGGAGTGAACTTTAAAAAGAGCAAGAAACCCAAAGCAACATTGAAGGCACACCTTCCTTCAGTAAAGGTCTATTCTCATGATTTATCAGTAAGGAGGAGACTGGATAGACACACCATCCATAGGAGAGTTTCAAGGCCAAAACCACTGCTGACCAAAATTAACACCAGAAGCGGTGAAACTCTGATGGTCTGGGGCTGCTTTGTCCTCCAAAGGACATTTGGGTTTCCATCCAATTATCATGTGAACTTTGAGCAAACTTGTAACATATTGCAAAAAAATAAAATAAAATAAAAATTAGATATATCCATCCTCTAACTTGGAGAGAATCAACCAGGTAAATCGTGATTTCGTCAGATGTTGACGTTGCACGTGACCGTAACAGGAAGCAGCAGTTACACACTAGCAGATGATTTCAGGAATGTCTTGGAATCAGGCAAGTTGTACTCGTTCTGTCAAGTCAACTAGTATTAGCGACGTGACATGCTGTCCGGAGACGTAGACAAGAAAATGCAAACACCAACAGCGGACATGGCTGATCAGCAATGTGGGGTAAATGAGTTTCCATTTCCCCTTTTTTCGGGGAGATGGAAACTGCTAAAAAAAAATATTTTTTTTTTTCTTGCAATTTTTTTATTTTTTATTTTTTGCAGAATTTGAATTATTTCAAATTCTGTTGCTTCCATCAACATTTTCAAATGCAATACTTCAAAACGCAAAGAAAACTTTAATGGAAATACAGTTATTGTCTAGCTGTAAGTCTGTGACCCTAAATTCAGCGACACTTGGGTTGCACAATAACACAATGTGTTAAGGCACACCACCACGTCCATCACTAAATAGATCAAAAATGGCTTTGGAGTGGGTGGCATAGTCAAAGTCTGATTTGAAGGATTTTGGAGGAGCAAAATGTCAAATGAGATCTGAATTTTTAAACACTTAACATCAGGTACAGAAACCCTAACAGTGACAGATCTAGTGTTAAGCTTCCCTAGGACAGGAAATAAATT